CTTAGACCTGTCTGTTTCCTTTCCTCTCCACCTATCTTCTCCTCTATCCATCTTCTATCTGCCTCCCCCTCTCTCCCTATTTATTTCAGAACACCCTTCCCCTCCCCCATTTCTGATGAAGGGTCTAGGCCCGAAACGTCAGCCTTTTTGCTCCTATGATGCTGCTTGGCCTGCTGTGTTCATCCAGCTCTGCACCTTGTTGCCTCGGATTCTCCAGCATCTGCAGTTCCTACTATCTCAGAGTCACCAGGATGTTGCCTAGGTTGAAAATTCTCAATTGTGAGGAGAAACTGTACAGGCTGGGTTAGTTTACTTGGAGCACAGGATGCTGAGGGAGATCTGATTGCAGAGTACAAAATTATGGACAGGATAGATCGTGAGCATCTTTTCCTCATGGCAGACCTATCTTAAGACCAGAGGGCTTAAGTTTAAAATGAGGAATAAATGGTTGAGAGGAGATCTGAGGAAAAATGTTTTTACCCACAGGATGGTAGGATTTTCTGATTCAGTATGTGAATGTACAAAGGGCAAGTGACTGAGGTTCAGTGGGGGAGTACTTTGGGGCAAGTGATCATAATTCTATTGGTTTTAAAATAGTTATGGAGAAAGATAGACCTGATCTAAAAGTCAAAGTTCTAATTTGGAGGAAGGTCAATTTTGACAGTATTAGGCAAAAACTTTCACAAGTTGATAGGGGCAGACTGCCATAGGTAAAGAGACGGCTGGAAAGGGAAAGCCTTCAAAAATGACGTAACAATACTCCAGAGACAGTATGTGCCTGTTGGGGGAAGGGCAAGGCTGGCGGGTGTATGGAATGCTGGATGATTAGCGAAAAGAAAAATTGAGGTTCTGGTCAGGAAAAAGAAGAAAGCATATGTCATGTGCTTCAGCAGGAGGGATCGAGTGATTCCTTAGGGGAGCATAAGGGCAATAGGAGTACACTTAACAGGGAACTTAGGAGGGCAAAAAGGGAACATGTGATGGTTTTGGCAAATAGAGTTAAGGAGAATCCAAAGGGTTTCTACAAATACATTAAGGACAAAAGGGTAACTAGGGAGAGAACAGGGCCCCTTAAAAGTTAGCAAGACCGCCTATGTGTGGAACCGCAGAGATGTGGGAGATACTAAATGAGTACTTTGCATCAGCGTTTACTGTAGAGAAAGAAATGGAAGCTAGAGAATTTGGGGAAATAAATAGTGATATCTTGAAAAGTGTCCATATTACACAGGAGGTGGTGCTGGACATTTTAAAATGAATAAAGATGGATAAATCCCTGGGACTAGATCAGATGTATAATAAAACTTTGTGGGAAGCTAGGGAAGTGATTGCTGGACCCCTTGCTGAGATATCTGTATCACTGATAGCCACAGGTAAGGTGCCGGAAGAAAGGAGGTTGGCTAACGTGATCTTGTTATTTAAGAAAGGTGGAAAGGAAATGCCAGGGAACTATAAACCGGTGAGCCTGACATCAGTGGTGGGCAAGTTGTTGGAGGGGTTTCTGGGGGACAGGATTTACATGTTTTTGGACGGATTAGGGACAATCAACATGGCTTTGTGCATGGGAAATCATTGATTTAGTTTTTTGAAGAATGACGAAGAGGACTGATGAAGGCAGAGCAGTGGAGTTTGTCTATATGGACTTCAGTAAGGCATTTGACAAGGTTCCACACACGAGACTGTTTAACAAAGTTAGGTCACATGGAATACAGTGAGAACTAGCCATTTGGATACAAAATTGGCTCAAAGGTAGGAGACAGAGGGTGGTGATGAAGGGTTGTTTTTTGGGCTGGAGGCCTGTGACCAGCAATGTGCCACAAGGATCAGTGCTGGGTCCACTGCTTTTTGTCATTTATATAAATGATTTGGATGAGAGTATTGGAAGTATGGTTAGTAAGTCTGCAGATGACCCCAAAATTGGTGGTGCAGTGGCCAGGAAAGAAGGTTACCTCAGAGTACAATGGGACCTTATTCAGTTGGACCGATGAGTGGCAGATGGAGTTTACTCTAGATGAATGTGAGGTGCTACATTTTGGTAGAGCAAATCAGGGCAGGGCTTACACATTTAATGGTGAGGACCTGGGGAGTGTTGCTGAACAAAGAGAACTAGCAATGCAGTTTCATAGTTCCTTGAAAATGGAGTCGCAGATAGGTAGGTTAGTGAAAAAGGCATTTGGTATGCTTGCCTTTATTGGTCAGTGCATTGAATATAGGAGTTGGGAAGTCATGTGCAGCTGTACAGGACATTGGTTAGGCCACTTTTGGAATACTGTGGTCTCCCTGCTATCCCTGTTAAACATGAAAAGGTTCAGAAAAAATTTACAAAGATGTTGCCAGGGTTTGAGCATTTGACCTATAGGGCTATTGTCCCTGGAGCACTGGAGGCTGAGGGATGACCTTTTTGAAGTTTATAAAATCATGAAGGGCATGGATAGAGTGAGTAGTCAATGTCTTTTCCCCAGAATAGGGGGTCCAAAACTACAGGGTATAGGTTTAAGGTGAGAGAAGAAAGATTTAAAAAGGAGCTAAGGGGCAACTTTTTCATGCAGAGGGGTTATGTATATGGAATGAAATGCCAGAGAAAGTGGTGGAGGCTGGAAAAAATACTACATTTAAAAAGCATCTGGATGGGTAAATGAATAGGAAGGGTTTAAAGGGAAATGGGCCAAATGCTGGGAAATGGGACTGAGATTGCTGGTCGGCATGGACGAGTTGGATCAAAGGGTCTGTTTCCGTGCTGCACATCTCTATGACTCTAATTATGGAACAAACTGCCTGAGGGGGTGGTGAAGGCAAGTTCTCTCACATTTAAGAAGCATCTGGATGAGCACTTAAAATTCCAGGGCAGAGTAGGCTATGGACCAAATGCAGGTAAATGGGATTAGTGTAGTTTGGTGTTTTTTTGCTCAGCATAGACATGGTGGGCCAAAGGCCTATTTCAATACTGTATTACTATTATTACCATTGCAGCCACTGTCTCTGGAGCTACTTCTTTTAAAATCCTAGGGAAACAGCCTGTGCTTGGTCCATGGGGCTGATCAGCCTTTACCTTCATTAGTTTCCTTCTGAGCTCTTCTAATTCTAGCCCAGATTGTAATGCACAACTCTGATGTGCTTTTATTTGTTGAGCTTCTAGGTTTCCAATGTTACATCTTGCATTTTTGTACTTCCTTATCATCCTTTCAGAAGCTCTTTAAAAACCTATCTCTGTGACCAGGCTCTTTCAATGATCTGACTGAAAAGTTCTTTGTTTCACTTGGTGTCAAATTTTGTTTTATAGTACTATTATGAAATACCTTGTGATGTTTGATGTTTCCTTACGGTAAAGGCACAAAATAAATATAAGCTGTTCGTGTTGTCGTGCCTTCAGCTACTTTGGCATCATGTATGGGATTTTTCCTTAAAACTCTCCATTTACCATTTTCCTTTCAAACCCTCTTTCAGTCCCATACATTTGACCCTTCTTAATCTTCCTATGCTTGGTTTAGCACTGATTTTGTTTTCACCTTGCACTGTTTTCCTATGGTAAGTGTGGTATATTTATGCAATGGAATTTGGCTGCCCAAACAGAAGGTGCTCCAGATGAATTCCTTGATAGCACTAATTAGAAAGGTCTATTTTTATGTAGGTACTACAAATATTGGAATGACAAAAATGTTTATAAAAATAATCACAGTGTGAGTCATTACCAATAGAAGTTCTTTTAAAACGACAATTTACAATACAAGTTTGTAAGCAGGAACGTGATTTACGAATAAACTATTAAACAAGAGAATGGGCTGTTCGTTACTGAAATGTATGAAGTTCAACTAACTTTCAGCAGGCTACAGACTGACTGCTTGAGAGCTACCTTGCAGTGTCCTTCATCAAGAAGACACTGACTCTGCTATAGGCCTTCCTCTGATTCATGTATTATCGGATTATCTGTCACTTATTCAGCAAAAATCCCAGGCTTGGGCAACCTTTCCTCATAAACATGGAGACTGGTGTTTTGATCATCAATTTTTTTTAAGATCAAAGAAAATATGAAAAGATACAATGGCCAGCTGTCTGTTTATGTACAAGTTATTGTCTTTTTAACCTCCATATCACAGTTTTTATTTCTACCCAATTTGCAAATTGCTTCCTTAAGTCCTGTAACATCATTTTCTGATTTGTAAACGATATAATGGAATCAATGGAGAGAATTTATCTTCAGTGCTGGAGTCTGTTTTTCAGTGCGGTGATGTTAAGTATCTTCATTTTAAGCAGATATTCCACCATAACTCATTATTCAGAACCTGTTTTCTGAACAGACTATCCAAATTTTCAGTAATATTCTTGAACAAGTAGGCACTAAAACTCGGAATGAAGTTAATTCAAACTTGCAGATTAAAACAGCTTTCTAGACTGAAAAAAATGGTTTGTCGTTAACCAAGATACATTTATCCAAATTAAAATGTTCTAAAATTTGTTGATAGTTTTCTAATACTAGTCCCACTTCATGGCTGATAAGTGCATGACTACATTAAAACGTTCTTTGAAAATGTTACAGCACAAGACTGCAGTTTAGGACGAGAGAGAGTCTGATGATGGAGGGATGTTTAAGTAGGGTAGACTACTGGACAAGGCAGAAACACTCCTGGCCCTTCCGATACACAAGCAGTGCTGTAAAATCTCTTATCTTTAGGAGTCATTACGTCTCATCTCGTTACGTTTCCCAAGATTGGGGAGTATAAAATCGCTTTTGTGGGAGTTAAGACTCAGCCCTGAGAATACATGCTGGGTATTTTATATCCTTTCATTCCCCGAATACAGCAAAATGATTCTTTCACATACTTTTCAGGGCCAATAGATTTCAATGTACATTAACTGGAACACCTGAAAATATTTGCCTTGAGCATTTCAAAATGAATGGATAATTTTAAGGAGGTCTCAGCTACGTAAAGACAGTGCAATCAGCAAGGTTATTTCTCTGACTTACTTTTAAAATTATTTAGAAACAATAAAGTTAAAATAGTTACCATCATAGTAAACAATAGCTCCTATAAGCTTATCTTTTCTCAGCATGGGGAAAAGTTCCAGAGCGCTTGACTTGGTAAGGACATAACTGTTTGCCAAACACTGACTTCCAGCCATAAAATCATACATCTTTATCCCAGCCCAGTAATAAGGAAGTTGCCACCACCTATTGGAGAAAAATAAAGGACAGTGTGATGAACTAAAGTTCACAGGCTTTAAGCATACAAATCTTATTGTATTTTGTAAAAAAAAAACTATTGCACTGCTTCAAAGGTTCTGTGCCTGCTGAAACAGAACATACCCACATGATCAAAACTAGCATAGCAGTACCACATTTCTCAATCTTTTTGTAACATTAAAAGTTTAGAAAATCTCCTTCCATTTTAGGATTTCAAGTAAGGGCAGCCTTTTGTCAGTAAATAAAATAGTGTAAAGTTATTGACCTAACAGAAATTTTTTTATACATGAGTTTGCACCATAGTAGTGAATTGGGTCTCTGTATGCCTCGACGCTGCTCTACCATAAATAGGCATTAGCAAATAAAGCAGAAACAAACTGATTTCATATATATATATGTAGCATAACTTGATTATTTTCCCTGTAGTTGAAGATCATGGTTATTCAATTCTTTTCCATACATTCCATTTCCAATCATGTAAACACATTGCATTTTAAATTTAAAGTTTTGTGATGGAATAACGCCAACTGCATGGGTTCAATTCCCGCGCTGGCTGAAGTTACCATGAAGGTTTTCTCAGTGTTGTCCCTTGACTGAGGTACGGAGACCTTCAGGTTAAACCACTCAGCAGTCATCTCTCCTGAATGAGACAGCAGCCCTATGGTCCTCTAGGACTATGGTGACTTGATCTAATTTAAAATACATTTACGTGAATCAATCCTAGTGTAACATATGGATTCTTATGACCTAAAGATATCCGACCTCACTGCTTGACTTCCAAGATCTCAAATGAATTCAGCAATAGTTTCCCAGCATTCATATTTGTTACATATTCCAATGTAATAAAATTAGCAAATATATCGTCACCTCCAATTCAAATCTTCCACTTATTAATGGAATTTATTTTTAAAATCTATAACAAACTTTCTGTAGTCTTTACCTCACCTATGCAGTAAAAACTCAAGGCTGTTCAAACCCTGTGACCTACAACATTAACACTTTTGCAGAAAGGTCAGCAAACCAGGTTCTATCTGCCCTCATCCTAGTTAGCGATATTACCAAATAAGATTAATGAAAGATAAAGATTAAGCAGTGGATGAACATATTTTTAATGTACATATCAGTTCTGCACAACTTAACATTTCCTATGTTTATCAAAAAGCAAATGGCTTAAGAAGCACATATATGAAGGGCCTGCAATTTTGCACCAATTCCTGAGCTAGTCCAGTTAGTTAGTGGAAGGCATTCAGTAATCATTCCACACAGACAGAGAAAAAAATATGCTGAGCCAGCGTCAACCCCAGCAAGCCAGGTGCCTGCTCAGAGTTCTTACAGGACTGAATTTATGCAAATAGATCAGTGAGGCTCAGCTTTTCATCCCACAATAATCACACATCTAGATTTTCTGATCAAAATTACAGTAAGACTGGTGTTAATCAGTTTCAACTAATTAAATTAGCTGTAAAGACATTGCCAACTAGAAAATGAATGTTTAATGTTCCAGCAGCTACATAAGTCCACCTTTATTAAATATATATGTATACCGTCCAAATTAGGAACTGCTTGTTTTCTTAGCATGAGAAAACAAAGCAAAGGTGTAGGTTTCATCACAGAATGAATCTAAGATGGTACAGTGCAGTAGCTGATTCTGAAGCAACATATATACTACATTCACGTTACTGAAAACAACATAGACATCAATGGGCATGCTCTACTGAAATATAAATCTAGACTAGATGCACTGACATTAGCTTGGGAACATGTTCAGAGACTGGATTGGTTCAAGAAAATAGGCATTCCCTCAGATATAAAACAGGAAGAAAACTGTAATTAAATTACATTCTGTTTGCCTACACTTTACACTTTGAACTGAAAAGGCTTGGTTACCACCTCCCCATTGAAATACATTCAGAATTTTTTTCAAATAATAAATTAATTACAACACAAGTAAATCATAGATTTATTTAAGACAATACTGCCATTTCCTTTTGCTGAGTTAGAGCAGGTTTTAACACACAGTTCTGATGAAAGGTCATCGAACTGAAACAGTTTTTCCACAGATGCCACCTAACTTGCTGAGTACTTCCAGAATTTTCTATTTTTATTTCAGATTTCCAGCATCCACAAGCATTTTGTTTTTAAAAAAATATATCTTCACTTTGTCATGTTAACCCTCTTACATGCGTCTCTTCAAAATGGAAATTTAAAATAGCCTCTGGAGCAGATATAATATTTACATTGTTTCATCACTGTATTCCACTGAACACTGTTTTGAGATCAGTCTACAGTCTACATCTATCTCAATTCCTTAAAGCCTTAGAAGATAATAGTGCCTATGAAAATTTCCCTGAAGCAGCAGTCATCTTTTACTGAGAAAGTTCCTTTAGGCTTCTGCACTTGAGCCAGCTTTGGTGTCATTATTGGTTTTGAAATCCCATCTGTGCCAAAATGAAGGACGAGTAATTTCTCTTTTCTTGCAAGAAATAAATGTCAATGCTGTTGAAGTCATTCACTTAGGTGACAACGGCAAAGAGAAAAATCATAGCTATTCATTGATGGGATTGAGTTTTGGCAGCCACTGTTCCTGACTGAAATAAAGTGCCGCAGGCTAGCCAGTGATATGAAAATCAGTACAAAATGAAAAGTAACTAGTATAAGGAAGGAAAGCCATTAGATTTAAAATTAAGAACAGCTACTTCAAATATTCCTCTTCATAATAAGTACTTAGAGAACACATGCAAAATGTGGAAAGGCGTTTGGTGTGATTGTGCTAAGATATGAATGAGTCCTGTAACAAATGAGTTTTATATTAATACAACTAATCAATATGGTACTTTATTGAGGCAAACCACCAAAAAATGGGTTACAGCAGATGAAAAAACACACTGAGATTCTGCTCAATTGTGCTTTTTTAGTCAGGACTATTTTCCCCAATATCAATCTACTTAGTTCAAAAGACTGCAGAATATTAAGATTTAATTTTATGCACAGCAACATGAGTTTCTGTTCATTTTTCTGACACTTTTAAAGGCATCAGGTTAGAATCACGGCTCCCTTCCTCAACAACACTGGCCACAGTACAAGGTGATTTCCACAAACTGCGCCCTTTTGCAGGCCTTTGAAGAAAGTTTGAAATTAAGCTGGAACTTCTAAGTTCAATAACACCAATGCATTGGTGTTGATTATTTAACAACAACAAAACTTTCTCTGTAAAAACAATACCAGACTAAACTAGAGTCCTGGTCTAACCACATGAGCATGTCGACTGTGGCAAGGCTTACACAATACAACAAGTTAGAAAGCAAAGTCGAGTAGAATTGCTGACAACAGTTCATCCCTTCCCAATGAGCTCAGTGGAATTCTATGCTTGTTTTGAACAGAGGTCAGTGGAATGATGTCACCTGCCCTGAGAGCCTCGGGTGCATCTGCACCCACAGTCACCACCGCAGATATCAGATCGGCCTTCTTGAGAGTGAATCCTCAGAAAACACCTGGCCCGGATGGCGTCCCCAGCCATAGGGAGAATTTGCAGACATCTTTAACCTCTCCTTACTACAAAGTGAGGTTTCCACCTGATTCAAAAAGACCACTATCATCCAGGTATCAAAGAAACATCAGGCAGTCTACCTTAATCACTGCTGCCCAGTGGCCCTGATTCCATCACTATGAAGTGCTTTGAGAGGTTAGTGATAGTACACATCAACTCCAGCTTCCCAGTTTGCCTTAATCCACTACAATACCTCCACCACTGCAACAAGTCCATGGCAGATGCCATCTCCATGGCCCCACACTCATCCCTGGAGAATATGGATAACAATGACACCTATGTCAGACTCCTGTTTATCAACTTTAGCTCTGCCTTCAACAACATAATTCCAACCAAACTCATCTCCAAGCTCTGAGACCTAGGACTCTGCTCCCTCCTCTGCATCTGGGTCCTCGACCTCATGACCTCTCAAATTACGACAAGACAGAGTACAAGAAAGAGATACAGAGTCTACTGGCAAGGCGTAAAGACACCAATCTCTCCCTCAATATCAGTAAAACTAAGGAGCTGGTCATTGACTTCAGGAAGCAGGGTGGAGGACACACTTCTCTCTGTATCAATGGTGTTGAGTTGGAGACGGTCAAGAGCTTCAAGTTCCTAGGAGTAAATATCACTAACAATCTGTCCTGGTCCATCTACATCAATACTAAAGTGAAGAAAGCACACCAACGCCCCTACTTCCTCAAAAGGCTAAGGAAATTTGACTTGTCCACAATGACTCTTACCAATTTTTACAGATGTACCACAGAAAGCATCCTATCTGGATGCAACACAGCTTGTGGTATGGCAACTGTTCTGCTCAAGACCACAAGAAATTAGATTATTGTGAACGCAGCTCAGACTAACACAAAAACCAGCCTTCCTTCCATAGACTCTGTCTACACTTCCCCCTGCCTCGGGAAAGTAGCAAACATAATCAAAGGCCCCTCCCATTCCAGTTATATTCTCTTCCACCCTCTATCGGGCAGAAGATACAAAAGTTTGAAAACACATACGAACAGCTTCTTCCCCGCTGTTGACAGACTTATGGACGGACCTCTCATATATTAGAGTTGATCTTTCTCTGCACCTTCTCTGTAGCTGTAACACTATATTCTGCATTCTGTTCTATTACCCTGGTGTACATATGTAAGGTATGACTTGTGTGGATAGCACGCAAAACAATACTTTTCACTGTATCTCGGTACATCTGACAATGATAAATCAAATCAAATCATACTTAGAACCATTTTTCCAACAAGGTAGAGAATGACTAAAAGATTAAGTAAAAAGAAGAAACTACAGTATGAAAGGAAGCTAGTTAGGAATGTAGAAATGGATAACTAGAGTCTTTTTTAAAACAGATATTCCAAATGGAAAGACTAAGTAAAATTAGTGTTGGTCCTCTAGAGAGTGAGAATTAACATGGATAGTAGATTGGCTGGCTAGGAGAAAACAGGTA